TAGCCTCAAAACACATGTTTGCAGTTTACTTGTGTTTTCACACCTTCTTCACCTTATTAACACTTTGGTCACATGAACTGATTATGGTGACACCAAGTTGAGAAGAAATCTTTCCTCACATGGATCTGCCAATACTTCTTTTTTCCACTCATCATACGGCTTCGGTTTCATTTGCACGGCCTCGAGAACATTACAGCAGAGCCCTAGGTTACAAAAGTCTACAATCTTAAAGTCAGAAAAAACTAAATTTTGTAAAATGCTCTCCTATTTTAAATGTAGCCCACTTAAACATGGTTTTGTTCCTTTTATGAAGCAGCATACACTGTCATATGGTGGGGCTCGCCAATATTATCGCTAATAGTACAAAAACACACACACACTGCATTTATTTATATTATTAAATGTATTTATATGACTAAATTTATACTAAATGTAACCATGAATGATCTACTGTATGGCATACTTGTGTATGCAGCTTTAAGATAAATGGGGAGGGACGGGAGGGAAGATTATCATATTTATTGACCTGATTCAGCAAGCTTGCGCTGACTCATAATAGCAGAGAGCACCTGGTCAGTTGCTACTTAGCAGCAAATATAGGAGTCCTGCTAAAGTACAGTAACCTGAAATTATCAAAGTCGCAATCATGGCTGCACCTGAACAGGAACATTGTTGCAGTTTAAAAAACAAACATACACAAAGTTAATTGTTTTTGTTCTTTGTCCTTGTACATTATTTGTTGCAATTTCACCCCAGCCATAGGCCATGTTCTGTTTGTTTATTTCTTGTTCCCAATGCATTCTTTCCTTCTCCCAGATGCACATATTCTGTCACCATCTGGCACAGAGGTCGGATTTGCACCCAGTGCTGCATCGGACAACGGCATTCCAAACTTCATTTAGTTTGGAGCCTCTATTGTTCTGCCCAGATTTAGGAATACCTGAATACCTTTAGGCTTACAATTTGAGCTCATACAGCCTTCAAAGCTCACTAATAAAGCCAAATCTAGCTCAGTTACTCACCTTAATAATAATAATCACAGTTAAAACACACTTAAAATCAATCATTTATTTCAAAGAAAGCTAATAGAGACCTCAAATTAAGCATAATTAGTCCTGTGTTAGTTGTTGGGAGTAGTATAGACACACGTTATTGTGGAGACGGCTGTACTGGGATTTGCAAATGAGACATAATCATTAGGAAACAAACTGATGCAAAATCACCAATAAACAAAACTCTACATAATTTTAATTATGCAGAGAATAGATTATATATCTTAAAGAGATAATGAATGATGAGCCTTGCATTTTCCCTACAAAATGGATACATAGCCTTGGGAATACATTTCCCAAAAAACATTACAATGCAGCTTGTAATGAACTGTAACCAAAGAGCTGTAATGAGTTGCTTTCATGGCTAATTAAAGTGAGTAAATAGTGTGTAATAACTAGCTGTTTTTTCCACCTCAGGCTGTCAGTTTTGACCAACAATGACAAGCAGGTTTTATGATTTACAAATTCCTCCTGCTCTATCCTGCTAGTTATGTCTTGTTGTCTGGCCTGACAGGATAACGGATAACACGGTGTGCCTCCAACTGACAAGAGTGAAGGCCCGAATCTCCTTCTGCTACGTCTCAGTTATCAACGTACCCTGAATTAGTCAGTCATCTCTCTCCAGCTTTCTGGAGTGCAGCATGTCACTTGTCAAAACCCATCCACGACGACTTGAAACCTGCTAACACACATGCGCGCACACAGACACACACGTACTGACAAAGACAGATGAACAAATGCGCACACAGTCGCACTTCAGGCAGGCAGCCTTCACCTGAGATAGTCTACAGCTCATTTTAAATGGCATCGCGAGTTGCACAGCAGGATGCAAAACGCCAGCTCTCGAATGGTAAAAAAACAACCACGCTTCTTGTGACTCATGATTTCCTACTCTTTTCACACAAAACCATAAATATACACTTTCAGAATAAAAAAACCACAGCACTCTGCTGTTTGAAGGCACTGTGTCAGTGATGTACATACATGTTGTTTTTGAGAATGCAGACAGACAATACAATAGTATGTTGTACATGACCCTGATTTATGCCATTTGTCTTTTGTGTATGTTGCTGTTTCTCGGGCTATTGATACAACAACCACAATTATTTCACTAGAAAAATTGATTCTACCCAATTTTATGCCCTTTTAAAATACACATTTAATGTTATCCTCATTTCTATCCGGTATGCACAGTAACTACCACTGCATTGAGATCTAATTCAAATTGAATTAAACAACTTTAGAGTGCGAGTCTACACCCATAGTCTGTCCAGAGGCGATGTTTGGCGTTGCTTGTTTCAAGCTGCATGACGGCAGGCCTGCGCCATCCATGATCTGATGCTGGAGAGGAAAGTGGTCCCGCTGTGGACTGTACACACATCAGTTTGGATGCTCCAGTCTGATGTGGTGTCTACAAGGCTGTAGCCATGCTGTGTCATGTATACACAGCACTCTGTAGGATCCTGCGCGTCAAGGCTCAGGCTGTGTGTTAAGGAGCTGACCTCGCTCTCTCGAAGGTCAGCCTCTCTGCACTTAAAAAGCTTCTTGTGTGCATCTATGCGTTCGATGGGCCCTGCCCACCTGGCCGACTGCTCGCCTGCCTGCCTGCCTTGTGTGTCAGCTTCTAATGATGAGGATGATGGAGGGAATCAAAGAGGAGATGGAGCTGACGTCGGGGCGGGCTCTCCATGGGACACCAGGTGATTGGGGAGGGAGCTTTGAAGCAACTTGTTGGATGGCTGTCCATTAATGTAAAATATTTCCTTTTCAAAGGGCTTTATTCAAGCTCAGAGTAGCGGAGCCCATAGGGGTCAAGGTGTCTGGCAGAATAATCTATCTCTCGCTTTAGAGAGCGAAAGATAAAAGAAAGGTTAGCGCACAGTGACTTGGCCATCTCCTTAGCCATTCCTGGCGTCATGGTTTCAGAGATACCGTCGCAAAAGGAGAAAAGTGCATGAGACAATCCTTGCAATGAGTGGTCTCTGGTTACATTAAAATAATAATTAAAAATTTTATACATGCAGGCGGCTAGTATATCAGGCTGAGGTTGAAGCTCCAGCCTATTTGATCTGTGAATGTTATAAACCATGCTTTTTGATAATTTCTGCATTGCTATTTATTTAGTTTGGTCAGGGATCAATGTGACTCCTGACATAAGAGGCAACCAGCCATTCTTGAAGATCAATTCTCTCCAGTCACCGTGAACTGGGGAGGGACAGACCAAATTTTATCCACCAAGTAGCAGGTTTATGAAGAGTGAATTATGGCTCTGTAAATCGCTCCATCCGTTTTAAGTTACCACGATACAGTTACGGGTCCATCTTGGCTTATGAGCGGCAGTAAGACAGAGTAACGGAGAGGTTAGAGTAAAATTTGAGTAAGAGTCAAAGATCACAGTGCACTCATCATACGGTGTGACAGTCCCTCTTGTCTCATTCAGTGAGGCAAAAGGGAGACATAGATGACACACAGCAGTCCAGCCCGCTCATGACCCCTATTAAATCCGAGCAAATCTTTGATATGTACTTTGATACCATATTTTATTGATACTGGAGGGGTGTTCATAATATCAAGTACAGTTCTGCATTCCAGGAGATCAGAGCGAGGACTGTTTTGTCTCAGAAGCTGTCCCGTGACCCCTGAGGGGTCCCCATAAGCTCTCATACAACTGAACCGAGGTTGACTCCAGTCCACTTTAGTTTTTACAAGAGAGTGTGATGTATGGGCTCTCCATGTTATATCTGTCTGCAGTTTCTCTTTCATGCACACACCCACATTACTTCGGTGATCTGGCTAATAATCATTGGCCTGTTATATATTATATTATATTCTACTCAGGTGTTTTTTGTTTTTTCCCTAATAAATCCAAAACATTTGCACCATCAAGTTTTAATCAAATATGAGGTTCCATCACACGGCGTGATGCTGCATTTGCCACCATCCATTTTAATGACCTACGTTGCATTTCACAGCTTAAGCATCTTCAGAACTTTGCTGGTACACCCAGTAATCTGTATCAGTTTGAGAGTATTTCCCTTTATACTAACATTTTAGTAGTATAAGTGGGGGGAAAAAATCCCAACTTGAGCATCTCCACAACACACACACATGCACACCTACACGCGCACACAAACACTCAAAGTCTCCAGCCTCTGATCTGAACTGACAACTCCTAAGCTACCGTTTCCTCATGCTGCTTAACTCAGACCACATTTCTCCCAGAGAGCCTCTCTCCTCTCACTAGCCAGACTTCTCTCTCCCATTCCATCCCTCTTTCTCTCTCCGTTCTCGAAACCCAGCATCTGGTTTGAATATAGCAGTGTGTGCTACTGTGTTACTGATAGAAGTTGGGACTGTAGGCTTCTCTTTGATTTTTCCATCCTCATCATCTCTCTTCCTGCTCAGCTCATACAATGCCTGCATTGAGAGAACAAAGTTGAGTGTGCAGCCTCTGTTTTGTTGATTTGTGATACTGTATAAAGATGAACTGCGGTTGAGGGAGAGTGCAGATGTGCTGTGTTATTTTGTGTGGGTTATATGTTAATGTTTCATCTTCATATTACTTGTTACACTACTATATTACAGATTCATGTGTGCTTTGTGAATTTCCCACTTTGAGCACACATCATTTGTGTCTGTAATGCAATGTTTATTTTTATGATAATATTGATCAATGTTATTTATGTAGTGCCATTTCCTTGAAGGAAATTTCACTTTAACTGCATTCTTCGACAATTTATCCTCTCGTTGTTTTGGTGAATGTTGAATTGGGTCGAACAAATTACAATTTTTCAATCTTTCTTTAGCAGTTTTTGTGCTCTGTTTAGCATCCCTCACAGTAATGCTTGCTTTTAAAATGTTCCGTTATGAAATGAGTAATTCCAAAGTGCAGTCACATGAAGTAATCATGATATTTCTGTTTTTTTTTTTTTCTGTTTTATGCTCCAGACAGAGGCCAGGGAGACCATTCCCAGGATGTTAGCAGAACTGGATCTGGGACAGAGAACAGAGAAGTGTGTGAGAGTGAACTCGGTGTCCAGTGGCTTAGCTGAGGCTGACCTACAGGTCATCCTGCAGGCTGAGGTTCTCCCTCCTGCCATCATGTTGCCCAAAGTAGAGGACATGCAGGAGGTGCAGTGGGTAAGTTACAAATATTGGCCCATCTTAGAAGTGCTCCTGTAGTGTTTTTTAAAGTCAAAGAGGGCTGAATGGAGTAGTCTGTAAGCAAAATTTATCCCCCGAACCACATGTAACCTCTTCCTAAAAAAACAAAACAAAACACCAAGTTGCATTACATACAAAAACTAAAGACTAAAAATACCCATGACATTTCTCGCTTTCACCTCTGGGTGTCTTTTAAAAAACACAGTGGTGCTCTTCCACAAAGTCATGAAGTAAGAGGAAACCACGGGAATCTTCAAAGCAATCATAACAAACTTTTCCATTTCCCAGTAAAAGTGGGAATCAATCCCTGTGGCAGGACTCGGGGACAGACAGAGTGTTTTTCTTGGCTGCCGCTCAAGAAACGGATGACATTTCTTCGGATTAGCTTCAGAAGCCCGATAGCTTTCTGTAACAACACAACGGTACCTTCTGCCGCTCCTGAACTTACTAGAGACTGCCTCGAACAGTGTCATGTTGTGGCTAAGAATTAATTTAATCGTAGTCAAAGCGCTCAGCCAGACAGGTACAACAAATGAAAATATTATATTATATATATTTATGATATTGGAAACGTATTTCAGTTGTCCACATATTTTGCTAAATCTTCCCAGTTACTGACTACTGCATGTGAAATGCCAAAAATTGCAAAAATTGCCCACTGATATTGTTCCCAGTTTTTCTTTTGCAATTTGTCCATACTAACTGGGCCTGCGCTCTAGTTAAGAGGTGTTTGTCTGGGCTTGGCCATCCCTCTGGCTTTCTATAAAGGGGCGCTGTACGGATGTCAGGTCCCGAAAGGTCAGGAGACAGTGACATCATTAATGCAGGCCTTTCTGATCAGCTCCATATGGGTCACTTAACCAGGAGGAAGCAGGTTACTGTCTGCCTCCTTCACTGTTTGTGTCTGAATATAGTTCAAAGGTGCTTTATTGATGTTCAGTTCAAAAGTACTTTTTGCTAAAAAAAAAAGATATATATGTCACCGCTTGTTTGTTTTTTCTTTTTTCTCTCTCTTTGCACGGACATTCACATGGACAAGCAGTTTACCTAAGCAGTTTTCGAAGGTGCTGATTTACTTTTTTAAGCTTTTTCGTTATTGTGTCAAGCTAAAAACATTCAGAACAGGGTTTGGTGATAAAGCCGTTTTTGTTTTTTTGCCGATTTGTTTAGAAGAAAGAGAGACATAGTCAGTAGTGAAAGTTGGGTGTCTAGTATGGCTTTAGTCTTACTATGCACTATGCACGCCCACACACACACACACA